CAGGAGAACTTCCCCAACCTAGTAGGGCAGGCCAACATTCAGATCCAGGAAATACAGAGAACGCCACAAAGATACTCCTCGAGAAGAGCAACTCCAAGACACATAATTGCCAGATTCACCAAAGTTGAAATGAAGGAAAAAATCTTAAGGGCAGCCAGAGAGAAAGGTCGGGTTACCCACAAAGGGAAGTCCATCAGACTAACAGCAGATCTCTCGGCAGAAACTCTTCAAGCCAGAAGAGAGTGGGGGCCAATTTCAACATTCTTAAAGAAAAGAATTTTAAACCCAGAATTTTATATCCAGCCAAACTAAGTTTCATAAGTGAAGGAGAAATAAAATCCTTTACAGATAAGCAAATGCTTAGAGATTTTGTCACCACTAGGCCTGCCTTACAAGAGACCCTGAAGGAAGCACTAAACATGGAAAGGAACAACCGGTACCAGCCATTGCAAAAACATGCCAAAATGTAAAGACCATCAAGGCTAGGAAGAAACGGCATCAACTAACGAGCAAAATAACCAGTTAATATCATAATGGCAGGATCAAGTTCACACATAACAATCTTAACCTTAAATGTAAATGGACTAAATGCTCCAATTAAAAGACACAGACTGGCAAACTGGATAAAGAGTCAAGACCCATCAGTCTGCTGTATTCAGGAGACCCATCTCACACGCAGAGACATACATAGGCTCAAAATAAAGGGATGGAGGAAGACTTACCAAGCAAATGGAGAACAAAAAAAAGCGGGGGTTGCAATACTAGTCTCTGATAAAACAGACTTTAAACCATCAAAGATCAAAAGAGACAAAGAAGGCCATTACATAATGGTAAAGGGATCTATTCAACAGGAAGAGCTAACTATCCTAAATATATATGCACCCAAAACAGGAGCACCCAGATTCATAAAGCAAGTCCTTAGAGACTTACAAAGAGACTTAGACTCCCATACAATAATAATGGGAGACTTCAACACTCCACTGTCAACATTAGACAGATCAACGAGACAGAAAGTTAACAAGGATATCCAGGAATTGAACTCATCTCTGCAGCAAGCAGACCTAATAGACATCTATAGAACTCTCCACCCCAAATCAACAGAATATACATTCTTCTCAGCACCACATCGTACTTACTCCAAAATTGACCACGTAATTGGAAGTAAAGCACTCCTCAGCAAATGTACAAGAACAGAAATTATAACAAACTGTCTCTCAGACCACAGTGCAATCAAACTAGAACTCAGGACTAAGAAATTCAATCAAAACCGCTCAACTACATGGAAACTGAACAACCTGCTCCTGAATGACTACTGGGTACATAACGAAATGAAGGCAGAAATAAAGATGTTCTTTGAAACCAATGAGAACAAAGATACAACATACTAGAATCTCTGGGACACATTTAAAGCAGTGTGTAGAGGGAAATTTATAGCACTAAATGCCCACAAGAGAAAGCAGGAAAGATCTAAAATTGACACTCTAACATCGCAATTAAAAGAACTAGAGAAGCAAGAGCAAACACATTCGAAAGCTAGCAGAAGGCAAGAAATAACTAAGATCAGAGCAGAACTGAAGGAGATAGAGACACAAAAAACCCTCCAAAAAATCAATGAATCCAGGAGTTGGTTTTTTGAAAAGATCAACAAAATTGACAGACCACTAGCAAGACTAATAAAGAAGAAAAGAGAGAGGCCGGGCGCGGTGGCTCAAGCCTGTAATCCCAGCACTTTGGGAGGCCGAGATGGGCGGATCACGAGGTCAGGAGATCGAGACCATCCTGGCTAACACGGTGAAACCCCGTCTCTACTAAAAACACAAAAAACTAGCCGGGCGAAGTGGCGGGCGCCTGTAGTCCCAGCTACTCGGGAGGCTGAGGCAGGAGAATGGCGTAAACCCGGGAGGCGGAGCTTGCAGTGAGCTGAGATCCGGCCACTGCACTCCAGCCCGGGCGACAGAGCAAGACTCCGTCTCCAAAAAAAAAAAGAAAAGAGAGAAGAATCAAATCGACACAATTAAAAATGATAAAGGGGATATCACCACCAACCCCACAGAAATACAAACTATCATCAGAGAATACTATAAACACCTCTATGCAAATAAACTGGAAAATCTAGAAGAAATGGATAATTTCCTGGACACTTACACTCTTCCAAGACTAAACCAGGAAGAAGTTGAATCCCTGAATAGACCAATAGCAGGCTCTGAAATTGAGGCAATAATTAATAGCCTACCAACCAAAAAAAGTCCAGGACCAGATGGATTCACAGCTGAATTCTACCAGAGGTACAAGGAGGATTGGTACCATTCCTTCTGAAACTATTCCAATCAATAGAAAAAGAGGGAATCCTCCCTAACTCATTTTATGAGGCCAACATTATCCTGATACCAAAGCCTGGCAGAGACACAACAAAAAAAGAGAATTTTAGACCAATATCCCTGATGAACATCGATGCAAAAATCCTCAATAAAATACTGGCAAACCGGATTCAGCAACACATCAAAAAGCTTATCCACCATGATCAAGTGGGCTTCATCCCTGGGATGCAAGGCTGGTTCAACATTCGCAAATCAATAAACATAATCCAGCATATAAACAGAACCAAAGACAAGAACCACATGATTATCTCAATAGATGCAGAAAAGGCTTTTGACAAAATTCAACAGCCCTTCATGCTAAAAACTCTCAATAAATTCGGTATTGATGGAACGCACCTCAAAATCATAAGAGCTATTTATGACAAACCCACAGCCAATATCATACTGAATGGGCAAAAACTGGAAAAATTCCCTTTGAAAACTGGCACAAGACAGGGATGCCCTCTCTCACCACTCCTATTCAACATAGTGTTGGAAGTTCTGGCTAGGGCAATCAGGCAAGAGAAAGAAATCAAGGGGATTCAGTTAGGAAAAGAAGAAGTCAAATTGTCCCTGTTTGCAGACGACATGATTGTATATTTAGAAAACCCCATTGTCTCAGCCCAAAATCTCCTTAAGCTGATCAGCAACTTCAGCAAAGTCTCAGGATACAAAATTAATGTGCAAAAATCACAAGCATTCTTATACACCAGTGACAGTCAAACAGAGAGCCAAATCAGAAATGAACTTCCATTCACAATTGCTTCAAAGAGAATAAAATACCTAGGAATCCAACTTACAAGGGATGTATAAAAATACCTAGGAATCCAACTTACAAGGGATGTAAAGGATCTCTTCAAGGAGAACTACAAACCACTGCTCAGTGAAATAAAAGAGACACAAACAAATGGAAGAACATACCATGCTCATGGATAAGAAGAATCAATATCGTGGAAATGGCCATACTGCCCAAGGTAATTTATAGATTCAATGCCATCCCCATCAAGCTACCAATGAGCTTCTTCACAGAATTGGAAAAACTGCTTTAAAGTTCATATGGAACCAAAAAAGAGCCCGCATCTCCAAGACAATCCTAAGTCAAAAGAACAAAGCTGGAGGCATCACGCTACCTGACTTCAAACTATACTACAAGGCTACAGTAACCAAACAGCATGGTACTGGTACCAAAACAGAGATATAGACCAATGGAACAGAACAGAGTCCTCAGAAATAATACCACACATCTACAGCCATCTGATCTTTGACAAACCTGAGAAAACAAGAAATGGGGAAAGGATTCCCTATTTAATAAATGGTGCTGGGAAAATTGGCTAGCCATAAGTAGAAAGCTGAAACTGGATCCTTTCCTTACTCCTTATACAAAAATTAATTCAAGATGGATTAGAGACTTAAATGTTAGACGTAATACCGTATAAAAATCCTAGAGGAAAACCTAGGTAGTACCATTCAGGACATAGGCATGGGCAAAGACTTCATGTCTAAAGCACCAAAAGCAACAGCAGCAAAAGCAAAAATTGACAAAATGGGATCTCATTAAACTAAAGAGCTTCTGCACAGCAAAAGAAACTACCATCAGAGTGAACAGGCAACCTACAGAATGGGAGAAAATTTTTTGCAATCTACTCATCTGACAAAGGGCTAATATCCAGAACCTACAAAGAACTCAAACAAATTTACAAGAAAAAACAAACAACCCCATCAAAAAGTGGGCAAAGGATATGAACAGACATTTTCAAAGAAGACATTCATACAAACAACAGACACACATGAAAAAATGCTCATCATCACTGGCCATCAGAGAAATGCAAATCAAACCACAATGAGATACCATCTCACACCAGTTAGAATGGCAATCATTCAAAAGTCAGGAAACAACAGGTGCTGGAGAGGATGTGGAGAACAGGAACACTTTTACACTGTTGGTGGGATTGTAAACTAGTTCAACCATTAGTGGAAATAGTCAGTATGGCGATTCCTCAAGGATCTAGAACTAGATGTACCATATGACCCAGCCATCCCATTACTGGGTATATACCCAAAGGATTATAAATTATGCTGCTATAAAGACACATGCACACGTATGTTTATTGCAGCACTATTCACAATAGCAAAGACTTGAATCAACCCAAAATGTCCATCAGTGACAGATTAAGAAAAATGTACATATACACCATGGAATACTATGCAGCCATAAAAAAGGATGAGTTTGTGTCCTTTGTAGGACATGGATGCAGCTGGAAACCATCATTCTTAGCAAACTATCACAAGAACAGAAACCAAACACCGCATGTTCTCACTCATAGGTGGAACTGAACAATGAGATCACTTGACTCGGGCGTACCCATCACACACCGGGCCTATCATGGGGAGGGGAGGGGGAGGGATTGCATTGGGAGTTATACCTGATGTAAATGACGAGTTGATGGGTGCAGCACACCAACATGGCACAAGTATACATATGTAAAAAACCTGCACGTTGTGCACATGTACCCTACAACTTAAAGTATAATAATAATAAATAAATTAAAAAAAAAAAAAAGAATATTAAATTAACAACATCCCATAACAATCATTTGAAAACTCATCATACCAATTCTCATAATGTTTACAAAACTTACTTGTGATTCAGAAGGTCCATGTTGTTGCAAGAAGCGCAGTCTTCATTAATTTCATTAAACTCTACATATTCATCATTCTGGAATAACACAGTTAAATATTTAGAATGAAATAAAAAAGAAAAACCCTCCCCATTTTATATTCTTACTACTGAGCATAAAATATAAAGGTAGCATGATAAATGTTTAAATATTTTTAATTTTTTATTAAAGCAATGCATATACTATATATTCCTACATGTAAGAAATGTTTTAAATATGGAAGCAGATAGCAAAGCATCTTGAATCTACCAACTTCTACTTTTTTAGGAAGGAAAGACAGACCAGAAATTGAAATCCTGAGTAAAAGAAACAAATTTCTCAGATTTGATAAGGCAATGATAAATTTGGTAAATCATTCTATGAAATTCACAATGATTGAAGTAAATGAGTGAAAAAAAGACAGGAAGAGTTATCAATATCTTCTGTATCTTTTCCACCCTACGAAAATAGGTCATTTGTACTATTAAAAGATACAAAATAATTCTAAGCTTTTCATAATATCTATCATATTCTTACCTCATTTTAAGTTCTTCAAGCATCATTAACATGTGTAAAAGTTCAACTTACAAGTTTTTCAGATCATCTTATTCAATGAAGAGAAACAACAGCCACAACACCATTCAGGCTATATTTAAACAGGACTTCATTCTAACTAGACATTTTCTCATTATTCAAATATTCTCATATTTAGCATTTCCAAAAATACACATACAACAATCAAAAATTACTTGTTATATCTGAGATATTTTATAAATGTTAAAAAGAAGAAAATACCTTTTTAGACAAAGCATTTCGTTTCAAGAAGAGTGATTACCACTGAGCAGATTAGTCCAGGTGTTTTCATCTACCATCACATTTCCTTTCATTTTTTGTTCTAAACAGTCTAACCTTTTCTCTATCAAAGTCAGCTCCTTAAGCTTTTCTTGGCATTCAGCAAGCATAGTCTGTAGTGCAGTAACTTGTGGATTAACATTTATATCCCAAAAGATTAGAGAGATTAAAAATAAAATCAAACTAAAATTTCTTTAAAATTGATGTTTCCCACTTCCACAGTGTTATCTCAATAGTTAGGAGAGACGGTCCTGCTTGAGAGTTAAAAGGTTTATCTCTGGAGGGAGACTACTTGGCCATTTAAACTAGTTCTGAGACTTATGATCTTGATGCCTCCATTTCCCTCATTAAAAAGAGAGAGAGAGATAAAAGAAGTATCTATCATATGATTCTTCTTGATGAGTTAATTTGCATGATTTTTTAATACCAACTAGGTAAAATAAACTATTATTAACTAGCTTGAACAACACCTAGCACAAAGCTAAGAGGAAATGACTAAAAACAACACTTAGTGCACTGAGATTATTCGATTTGCCATGTAACAGGGAGTACGTCCAATGGCCTTCTGGTAGTTTTTGTAAGTGCCAACTGTATATTGATATACTGAGATATATAGAAGTCACAAGACATATAGAAACATAGAAAAGAAGTTTTAGTAGAACAATAGACATCAGACATATTGGTGTCTGTGGCAATTAAGAGTAATAGAAATTATTATTATTATTATTGCAATTTAAGTTCCAGGGTACCTGTGCACAATGTGAAGGTTTGTTACATATACTCATGTGCCATGTTGGTGTGCTGCACTCATTAACTCCCTCATTTACATTACATATCTCCTAGTGCTATCCATTCCCGCTACTCCCACCCCATGACAGGCCCCGGTGTGTGATGTTCCCTTCCTGTGTCCAAGTGTTCTCATTGTTCAATTCCCACCTATGAGTGAGAACATGCGGTGTTCGGTTTTTGTCCTGATAGTTTGCTGAGAATGATGATTTCCAGCTTCATACATGTCCCTATGAAGGACACGAGCTCATCTTTTTTATGGCTGTATAGTATTCCATGGTGTATATGTGCCACATTTTCTTAATCCAGGCTATCATTGATGGACATTTGGGTTGGTTCTAAGTCTTTGCTATTGTGAATAGTGCCAAAATAAACATATGTGAGCATGCGCTTCTTATAGTAGCATGATACCTTTGGGTATTTACCCAGTAATGGCATGGCTGGGTCAAATGGTATTTCTAGTACTAGATCCTTAAGGAATCGCCACACCAATCTTTCACAATGGTTGAACTAGTTTACAATCCCACCAACAGTGTAGAAGGTTCCTATTTCTCCACATCCTCTCCAGCACCTGTTGTTTTCTGACTTTTCAATGATTGCCATTCTAACTGGTGTGATGGTATCTCATTAGAAGTTTGATTTGGCATTTCTCTGATGGCCAGTGATGATGAGCATTTTTTCATGTGTCTGTTAGCTGCATAAATGTGTTTTTTAGAGAAGTGTCTGTTCATATCCTTTGCCCACTTTCTGATGGGGTTGTTTGGATTTTTTTCTTTGTAAATTTAAGTTCTTTGTAGATTATGGATATTAGCCCTTTGTCAGATAGGTAGATTGCAAAACTTTTCTCCCACTCTGTAGGTTGCCTGTTCACTCTGATGGTAGTTTCTTTTGCTATGCAGAAGCTCTTTAGTCATGAAGTCCTTGCCCATGCCTATGTCCTAAATGGTATTGCCTAGGTTTTCTTCTAGGGTTTTTATAGTTTTAGATCTAACATGTAAGTCTCTAATCCATCTTGAATTAATTTTTTATAAAGTATAAGGAAGGGATTCAGTTTCGGCTTTCTACATATGGCTAGCCAGTTTTCCCAGCACCATTTATTAAATAGGGAATCCTTTCCCCATTTCTTATTTTTGTCAGGTTTCTCAAAGATCAGATGGTTGTAGATGTGTGGTATTATTTCTGAGAGCTCTGTTCTGTTCCATTGGTCTATATCTCTGTTTTGGTACCAGTACCATGCTGTTTTGGTTACTGTAGCCTTGTAGTATAGTTTGAAGTCAGCTAGCATGATATGATGCCTCCAGCTTTCTTTTGGCTTAGGACTGTCTTGGCAATGCGGGCTCTCTTTTGGTTCCATATGAACTTTAGTTTTTTCCAATTTGGTAAAGAAAGTCATTGGTAGCTTGATGGGGATGGCATTGAATCTATAAACTACCTTGGGCAGTATGGCCATTTTCACAATATTGATTCTTCCTATCCTCGAGCATGGAATGTTCTTCCATTTGTTTGTGTCCTCTTTCATTTCATTGAGCAGTGGTTTGTAGTTCTCCTTGAAGAGGTCCTTCACATCCCTTGTAAGTTGGATTCCTAGGTATTTTATTCTCTTTGAAGCAATTGTGAATGGGAGTTCATTCATGATTTGGCTCTCTGTTTTTCTGTTATTGGTGTATAGGAATGCTTGTGATTTTTGTACATTGATTTTGTATCCTGAGACTTTGCTGAAGTTGCTTATCAGCTTAAGGAGATTTTGGGCTGAGACAATGGGGTTTTCTAAATATACAATCATGTCATCTGCAAACAGGGACAATTTGAATTCCTCTTTTCCTAACTGAATACCCTTTATTTCTTTCTCCTGTATGATTGCCCTGGCCAGAACTTCCAACAGTATGTTGACTAGGAGTGGTGAGAGAGGGCATCCCTGTCTTGTGCCAGTTTTCAAAGGGAATGGTTCCAGTTTTTGCCCATTCAGTATATTGGCTGTGGGTTTGTCATAAATAGCTCTTATTATTTTGAGATATGTCCCATCAATACCAAATTTATTGAGAGCTTTTAGCATGAAGGGTTGTTGAATTTTGTTGAAGGCTTTTTCTGTATCTATTGAGATAATCATGTGGTTTTTGTCTTTGGTTCTGTTTATAGGATGGATTATGCTTATTGATTTGCATATGTGGAACCAGCCTTGCATCCCAGGGATGAAGCCCACTTGATCATGGTGGATATAAGCTTTTTGATGGGCTGCTGTATTCGGTTTGCCAGTATTTTATCGAGGATTTTTGCATCAATGTTCATCAGGGACATTGGTCTAAAATTCTCTTTTTTTGTTGTGTCTCTGCCAGGTTTTGGCATCAGGATGATGCTGGCCTCATAAAATGAGTTTGGGAGGATTCCCTCTTTTTCTATTGATTGGAATAGTTTCAGAAGGAATGGTACCAGCTCCTCTTGGTACCTCTGGTAGAAGTCGGCTGTGAATCCGTCTGGTCCTGGACTTTTTTTAGTTGGTAGGCTATTAATTATTGCCTCAATTTCAGAGCCTGTTATTGGTCAATTCAGGGATCTGAGACGAAGCTTCCAGAGGAACGATCAGGCAGCAACATTTGCTGTTCTGCAATATTCGTTGTTCTGCAGCCTCCGCTGCTGATACCCAGGCAAACAGGGTCTAGAGTAGACTCCCAGCAAACTCTGACAGACCTGCAGCTGAGGGTCCTGACTGTTAGAAGGAAAACTAACTAATAGAAAGGACATCCAGACCAAAACCCCATCTGTACGTCACCATCATCAAAGACCAAAGGTAGATAAAACCACAAAGACCAGGGAGAAATCAGAGGAGAAAAGCTGAAAATTCTAAAAATCAGAGCACCTGTTCGCCTCCAAAGGAACGCAGCTCCTCGCCAGCAATGGAACAAAGCTGGATGGAGAATGACTTTGACAAGTTGAGAGAAGGCGGCTTCACATGATGAGACTTCTCAGAGCTAAAGGCAGATGTTCAAACCCATTGCAAAGAAGCTAAAAACCTTGAAAAAAGATTTGACAAATGGCTAACTAGAATAACCACTGTAGAGAAGTCCTTAAATGACCTGATGGAGCTGAAAACCACAGCAGGAGAACTACATGACACATGCACAAGATTCAATAGCTGATTTGATCATCTGTAAGAAAGGGTATCAGTGGTTGAAGAGCAAATGAATGAAATGAAGTGAGAAGAGAAGTTTAGAGAAACAAGAGTAAAAAGAAACGAACAAAGCCTCCAAAAAATATGGGACTATGTGAAAAGACCAAATCTAGGTCTGATTGGTGTACCTGAAAAGTGACGGGGAGAATGGAATCAAGTTGGAAAACACTCTTCAGGATATCATCCAGGAGAACTTGCCCAATCTAGCAAGGCAGGCCAACATTCAAATTCAGGAAATACAGAGAACACCACAAAGATACTCCTTGAGAAGAGTAACTCCAAGACACATAATTGCCAGATTCACCAAAGTTGAAATGATGGAAAAAATCTTAAGGGCAGCCAGAGAGAAAGGTCAGGTAACCCACAAAGGGAAACCCATCCGACTAACAGCGGATATCTCGGCAGAAACTCTACAAGCCAGGAGAGAGTGGAGGTTAATATTCAACATTCTTAAAGAAAAGAATTTTCAACCCTGAATTTCATATCCAGCTAAACTAACCTTCATAAGTGAAGGAGAAATAAAATCCTTTACAGACAAGCAAATGCTGAGAGATTTTGTCACCACCTGGCCTGCCTTAAAAGAGCTCCTGAAGGAAGCACCAAACATGGAAAGGAACAACTGGTAGCAGCCACTGCAAAAACACGCCAAATTGTAAAGACCCTCGATGCCAGGAAGAAACTGCATCAACTAATGAGCAAAATAACCAGCTAACATCATAATGACAGGATCAAATTCACACACAACAATATTAACCTTAAATGTAAATAGGCTAAATGCTCCAATTAAAAGACACAGACTGGCAAATTGGATAAAGAGTCAAGACCCATCAGTTTGCTGTATTCAGGAGACCCATCTCACACACAGAGACACACATAGGCTCAAAATAAAGGATGGAGGAAGATCTACCAAGCAAATGGAAAACAAAAAGCAGGGGTTGCAATCCTAGTCTCTGATAAAACAGACCTTAAACCAACAAAGATTAAAAGAGACAAAGAAGGCCATTACATAATGGTAAAGGAATCAATTCAACAAGAAGAGCTAACTATCCTAAATATATATGCACCTAATACAGGAGCACCCAGATTCATAAAGTCGTCAGAGACCTACAAAGAGACTCAGACTCCCACACAATAATAATGGGAGACTTTAACAACCCACTGTCAACATTGGACAGATCAACGACACAGAAAGTTAACAAGGATATCCAGGAATTGAAATCAACTCTGCATCAAGCAGAACTGATAGAAACCTACAGAACTCTCCACCCCAAATCAAGAGAATATACATTCTTCTCAGCACCACATCACACTTATTCCAAAACTGACCACATAATTGGAAGTAAAGCACTCCTCAGCAAACGTAAAAGAACAGAAATTATAACAAACTGTCTCTCAGACCACGGTGCAATCAAACTAGAACTCAGGATTAAGAAACTCACTCAAAACCACTCAACTACATGGTAACTGAAAAACCTGCTCCTGCATGACTACTGGGTACATAACGAAATGAAGGCAGAAATAAAGATGTTCTAGGCCGGGCGCAGTAGCTCAAGCCTGTAATCCCAGCACTTTGGGAGGCCGAGACGGGCGGATCACGAGGTCAGGAGATCGAGACCATCCTGGCTAACACGGCGAAACCCCGTCTCTACTCAAAATACAAGAAAATTAGCCGGGCGAGGTGGCGGGCGCCTGTAGTCCCAGTTACTCGGGAGGCTGAGGCAGGAGAATGGCGTGAACCCGGGGGGGCGGAGCTTGCAGTGAGCCGAGATCGCGCCACTGCACTCCAGCCTGGGGCACAGAGCAAGACTCCGTCTCAAAAAAAAAAAAAAAAAAAAAAAAAATGTTCTTTGAAACCAATGAGAACAAAGACACATCATACCAGAAACTCTGGGACACATTTAAAGCAGTGTGTAGAGGGAAATTTATAGCACTAAATGACCACAAGAGAAAGTGGGAAAGATCTAAAATTGACACCTTAACATCACAATTAAAAGAACTAGAGAAGCAAGAGCAAACACATTCAAAGCTAGCAGAAGGCAAGAAATAATTAAGATCAGAGCAGAACTGAAGGAGATAGAGACACAAAAAAGCCTTCAAAAAATCAATGAATCCAGGAGCTGGTTTTTTGAAAAGATCAACAAAATTGATACTAGTCTTGTTAGTGAGCAAGACTAATAAAGAAGAAAAGAGAGCAGAATCAAATAGATGCAATAAAAAATGATAAAGGGAGTACCACCACTGATCCCACAGAAATACAAACTACCATCAGAGAATACTATAAACACCTCTATGCAAATAAACTAGAAAATCTAGAAGAAATGGATAAATTCCTGGACACATACACCCTCCCAAGATTAAATCTAGAAATGGTTTTTTAAGAGAGACAGAAAATAACAACAAGGAGCCAGAAAGGAAAATGAATACACAATAAAGTGCCAATCTTTTTCATTCACCAATAAAGAAAATAGGTGGTAGAGAACCTTCACTATGCAAAGTAGTGTATCTCTATGTCTCACTAAACTGTAAGTTCTTAAAGCCAAGTACCGTATCTCATTCTACTTTGCATTATCCCAATACTTAGCCCAGCACCCTACACATACGCAGCAAATATTTGTTGAATTATTTTAGTAAGACTTATTGATACTTAAGTAATTGTAACATAGGTGAAATGTCATGATCAATAATTCAAAAGGCTAGACATATTCCAAAGTTTAGAGGCTGAAATAATTACATATATTTAAGTAAAAAATACTGGCATCTATTTTAAAAGTCCAAAATTGTTACCTGTTGCTCAGCCTTGATTTCAGGAACCTTTACTTCAGGCATCTTTATTTCAGTAGCATTTAAGTCAGATACATCAACTGCTTCATTAACATCTGTTATTGGACTTAATGTATCCTCAGAAATTTCTACATTATCTTCATTATACAAGTGACGAATCACCACAGCTTTCTTCTGCATAGAGAAAAATATGTAAGAAACACTTCAATGTTTTCCTCCCACAATTATTCGTTTTTAAGTTCAGGGGTACATGTGCAGGTTTGTTACACAAGTAAATGTGTCATGGGGGTTTGATGTGCAGATTATTTCATCACCCAGGTATTAAGCCTAGTACCCTCTGGTTATTTTTCCTGAACCTCCTCCTACCCTCCACCCTCTGAAAGGCTCCAATGTGTGTTGTTTCCCTCTATGTGTCCATGCATTCTCATCATTTAGCTCCCACTTACAAGTGAGAGCAAGTGGTATTTGGTTTTCTGTTTCTGCATTAGTATGCTAAGGATAAGGGCCTCCAGCTCCATCCATATCCCTGCAAAGGACATGATCCCATTATTTTTTATGGCTACAGAGTATTCCATAGTGTATATGTATCACATCTTCTTTATCTGCTCTATGATTGGTGGGCATTTAGGTTGGTTCCATGTCTTTCCTATTGTGAATAGTGCTGCAATGAACATATGCATGCATGTGTCTTTACAACAGAACAACACATATTCCCTTAAGTATATACCAAGTAATGGGACTGTTGGGTCAAATGGTATTTCTGTCTTTAGGTCTTTGAGGAATCGCCACATTGCCTTCCACAGTGGTTGAACTAACTTACACTCCCACCAACAGTGTATAAGCATTCCCTTCTTTTCCACAACCTCATCAGCATCTGTTATTTTTTGACTTTTTAATAAAAGTCATTCGGAGAAGCATGAGATAGTATCTCATTGTGGTTATGATTTGCATTTTTCTAATAATCAATGATGTTGTGTTTTTTTTCATATGACTATTGGCTGTATGTATGCCTTCTTTTGAAAAGTAGATGTTCATATCCTTTGTCCACTTTTTAATTAGATTGTTTTTTCTTGTAAATTTAAGTTCTTTATATATGCCAGATATTAGGCCTTTGTCAGATATAAGTTTGCAAAAATTTTCTCCCACTCTGGAGGGTGTCTGTTTACTTTGCTGATAGTTTCTTTTGCAGTGTAGAAGCTCTTTAGTTCAATTAGATCCCATTTGGCAATTTTTGCTTTTGTTGGAATTGCCTTTGGCATCTTCGTCATGAAATCATTGCCCACGCCTATGTCCTAAATGGTATTGCCTGGGTTGTCTTCCAGGGTTTATAGTTTTGGGTTTTACATTTAAGTCTTTAATTCATCTTGAGTTGATTTTTGTATATGGTGTAAGGAAAGGGTCTAGTTTCAATCTTCTGCATATGGCCACCCAGTTATCACAGCACCATTTACTGACTAGGGAATCCTTTCACCATTGCTTCATCAGGTTTGTTTAAGATCAGATAGTTGCAGATGTGTGGTCTTATTTCTGGGTTCTCTATTCTCTTCCATTTGTCTATGTGTCTGTTCTGGTACTAGTACCATGAGGTTTTGGTTACTGTAGCCCTGTAATATAGTTTGAAGTTGGGTAGCATGATCCCTCCACCTTTGTTCTTTCTCCTTAGGATTGCCTTTGCTATTTGGGTCTTTTTTGGTTTCATATAAATTTTAAAGTAGTTTTCTGTAGTTCTCTGAAGAATGTCAACGGTAGTTTAAGGGGAGCAGCATTGAACCTATAAATTGCTTTGGGCAGTATGGTCATTTTAACAATATTGATTCTTCCCAACCATGAGCATGGAATGTTTTTCCATTTGTTTGTGTCATCTCTGATTTCTCTGAGCAATGGTTTGTAGTTTTTCTTGTAAAGATCTTTCGCCTCCCTTGTTAGCTAGATTCCTAGGTATTTTATTCTTTTTGTGGCAATTTTGAATGGGAGTTTGCTTGTGATTTGGTTCTCAGCTTGACTGTTGTTGGTATATAAGAATGCTAGCAATTTTTGCACATTGATTTTGTATCTCGAGACTTTGCTGAAGTTGCTCATCAGCTTAAGAAGCTTTTGGGCTGAGAAGATCCTCCTACAATTATTTTAAACATACACACAGTAATTTTCCAAAAGGAACACCAACAGTTAAAGAATAAAAAAAAGTTTAAATTATCACATATAATGTATATATCAAAATATTACCATTACTAGTATTACCAATAATTTATGTGTGATGATAAAATTGGGGTTATGACTTTTAAAACAATTCTTACATTTTAGGACAAGCACTGAAATATTTATTAAATTATGTCTGAGATTTGTTTTAAAATAAAGACAAAACAAGATGAGCAAAGAGTTAATAAACTGTTGAAACTGGATGATGGGTACGTTTGTAAATGTTTGAAATGTTCCATAATACAAAGTTATTTTTAAAAAAGATTGCCGAATAATTCACTTCAAATAATCAAAATAGAGCCTGGTTGTATGAGTAGGGCTCATTACAATTTTTCTATTAAACAAACTGCAATTTATTAGACCTTCGGCTAACAATTCAAACCTAATAATGACAACGAAAAAGTCCTGACAAAAAAAGCATTAGGTCACGCTACGCATTTACCTAGAAATCCTCTACCTGCTTCCTATTCTACAGTTTGCATACACACTATAAAAACATATGTGATTCAGAAGCACAAACAGCATACTATATAAGGCACCGGGATAGGAGACAATTTGCTTTAATATTGACTCAACTTTTGCTTGTAAACAAAGACATGTACGTGTAGACTCTTTTCAAAATCTGAGAACTTTTAATACTTATTCGAATTTCTGATAAAGATCTGATATAAATTTTAATAAAGAAAACTGTGCTTTAAGAAAATTAAAAATAAGTCTAAAGTTTTGAAGTTTACATTTTGCTTGGCTAGCACAATTTAGACTGTCCCCTCAACTCTCATACTGAAATAGAAGACTGAAAAGTACATTATATCAACTAATATTTAATAAGTGCTCACAGTGTACCTAATCCTGTGCTAAGCAAAATGAAGGCACAAAAAATCAGTATTAAAAAAATCCCTGTTTATATATGTTCCTTTTAGTTGGGGAAGAATACAAGATATGTCATTTAACAGTTAGAAAATAATAAATAAAACTAACAAGAGTTAGACGAGTTAGAGATGCAAGTGTACAAAAACTACATGCACTTATTCAAAAATCTCAGCTCTGTATCATTCTTTATATTGTCCTCATTACCTAGAGCAAAACAGGCACGTTAAAAAGAAGTGGCATAAGAACTTTTTCTTATAATAAAATTTCAGTTTTTTAAGGTACAAAGGAATAAATATATATTTTTTTGAGATGGAGTCTCGCTCTGTCACCCAGGCTGGACTGCAGTAGTACGATCTTGGCTCACTGGAACCTCCGCCTCCAGGGTTCAAGTGATTCTCCTGCCTCAGCCTCTTGCATAGCTGGGGTTACAGGCACCTGTCACCACGCCCAGCTAATTTTTGTATTTTTAGTAGAAATGGGGTTTCGCCATGTTGGCCAGGCTGGTCTTGAACTCCTGACCTTAGGTGATCCACCCGCCTTGGCCTCCCAAAGTGCTGGGATTACAGGAGTGAGCTACTGCACCAGGCCCATGTATAATTTTTAAAATAGATTCTGTTTACATAACTCATCTATTTTGGATTAGGGCAGAAATAATACTCTAGATTACACTTCAGTCAGAAAGTATTCACATCCTTTACTTAATTACACCATTGATAATTCATCTGATATTCTATCATTCAATCAGAAAGAGTTTTCTCCAGATGGAAGACAGCTGAAAATATATTATAAAACAATATTTTAGCTTAAATCTCCCTTTGTGATAGAAACGCTGGAGCTCTAAATGCGTTAGATTCAATTTGCCACAGCTGCTCAAAGCAGATAATGGCAGAAAAATTATCTTTCAAGGAAGAGAACATATTCAAAATATTAACTGAAAACCAGTTAATACGTGTAGGGACTACCAATCATTGGATAATGCATACTTGGTTACAGAAATATAATGTACATAAGTGAATCATTATAAGCTATCACTACTGCTAATGTAGGCTCTTCATATTTTCCCATGTTTTAGGAAAACCAGAACAAAATTAAGAGCAAATGTAGACAACTGCATAAGATATCTTTCTAAATCACTACTCTTCTGTTTAGGAAATCAGGCAAAATTAGAAATTAGAAATACAAAGAGAACACCTATTTAATTTTATATTTCTATCCTACTGTTATAACTTCAGAAATACTGCCCAAAAACATTTGGCATGCACTGTTAAAAATCCCTACACTCCAATATCTAACTAGAATGTTTCATCAGGTGCCAATCAGAAAAGTGAAAACTGTATATTGGATTAATTAGATAACTCTTAAACAATATATTTTCTTTGTGGTTGCATACCTTTCCTGAAGTCACAAATCTGCCACTGGTATCAATGCCAACAGCCTCTGCAGATATTTTCTCATTGCCCAAAGAAGGTTCTGACTTACCAGAACTGATTTTCTTTCTTTGTTGTGATGGAATCTTAAAAAAAAGGTATCAGTCAAAATAGCAAATTTTGTGTGAAAGCAGAATTATATATTAAAATTCCATTAACATTTAAATTTTCATATATGAAATATAACTGACAAATAATGAGACTACATGACTTTTAAAAACTAAGAAATAATGAAAATGCATTATGTGTGAACTATTAGTTTAACACTAGGAGTTCCCAGTCACAGGTGTATAAAACAAGAGAGTACTATTTAAAATAAACATCAAGCTTTATAAGGTTACTCAAATAGTTGAATAACACGGTAATTACACTATGAAATAATCTGCTGTCTAGGGTACTGATTTTATACATTAAAATACTGAGCCATCTATTAATATCATATATCAGCATTAAAATCTATTCAAAAATTACCTTCTGAAGACTACTTAATTCCTTGTGCTTTTTCATCACACAATTCAAAATATCACAAACAATTTGGATTTTCCATTCTGCAAACCCACATTGGATAAACTGCTTTTTTGTCAAAATTGGTTTATAATTAAATTGATCACGAAGGAGCTGCAGAGGAAACAGACTCTTGTAATAATTGGGAGCAATTTATTTCTAACATTCCAAATGATAATGCCCACCTGGTCAGGGGAATAATGGCCACCTTTGAGAGGACAAGGAAAACCAAGCCATTAACTAAAGAGTACTAAAGTAATTTATAGGGCTGGTGTAAGTCACGATCCGGTAAAACAGGAATCAGGTGGAAAACAGGTAGCAAAGGATATGCTGGAGAACAGATGGCTGTCCAGAGAGATGGAAAAACATAGACAATCATCAAAAAGTTTAAATATCTTCACAGACATTAGAAAAACTCCTTAGTTCACCAGAACACCACACCAGAATCAGAAACTATAGTTCTATTTGTTTATAACTCTTCCACTATGTGATTTCTGGATAAGTCAGTAGGCCTTTTGGTCTCAATTTTTCATTTGTAAAATGAAAAAAAAAAAAAAAACACTAGATCAGTAGTTTCCTAAATCTACTCGGTGGAGCGCTAGAATTTCTTAAAAGTGCCTCTTAGCTTCCATGGATGTTTTCTGGGATGAAAAGCAAGAAAGAGAAAGATTAAACAGAGACTACATATAAAAACTCCCATTTCACTGACTGCAACTCTGCTTTTTTTAAAGACTATTTGAGGTTGGGTACGGTGGCTCGCGCCTGTAATCCCAGCACTTTGGGAGGCCACGGTGGGCAGAGCACAAGGTCAGGACATTGAGACCATCCTGGCCAACATGGTGAAACCCAGTCTTTACTAAAGTACAAAAAATTAGCCAGGTGTGGCGGTGCACACCTGTAGTCCCAGCTACTCAGGAGGCTGAGGCAGGGGAATTGCTTGAACCCAGGAGGCGGAGCTTGCAGTGAGCCTAGATCATGACACTGTACTCCAGCTTGGCAACAGAGCAAGACTCCGTCTCAAAAAGAAAAAAAGACTACATTTGATAAGTGGGTTTTACCATTAAAAACTAACTTTAATACAAACCACAGTACTTAAGCAAAAATTGATGATAAAAGCAGGGTTTTAAAAAAAATCAAATACAAGATGAAATTCAATATACACATAGTACAAGTATAAATACTAGGGTAGATACAATATAAGACATGCTCTCAGACCTCAAAGAATATATCGGTTAAAAAAAAAAGAATATGTCAGTAATAGTTCCTTCTTACAAACAACTAAATTATCATATAATTATAAAAAACTATACACTTTATTGAATATAATTACATTATTCCCTAATTTCTGCCAGTATACCAAATTTTACTAAAATTTGATTAAAAAGGGCAAACAATAGCCAACAACAAATAATTACCAGTTGCTGTATTTATTAGGATAACATTCAAAAAGCAAACATGAATTGCATTTTGATTTCAATAGGGACTACATTTAAATGAGATAAATACAAATGAAAATATTCTGTCAACTGTATATGCTGCATATATTTAAGAAGTTATGACTAAAACATTAATTTTTTAAAATCATTCAATAATTATTGTTTCATAAACTCAAAATACCTTATAGACAGCATCTATAAAGCGCAAGTCATTTTTTGCTATGAGTTCTACATTGGATTCCATTATAAGTTCTGTTACATAAGGTGAGTATGAGGTAAAAGAATAGCTGATGATGGGTAAAGATGCTGCTGGGTCTCCCTTTATCAAACTGTTAGGAAAAAAAGAAAAATATTCTTAATAAGCATTTAATAAGCATAATTTCACAAAGTTGGATAATCAAGAAAATACTAGAAATGTTTATAATAATTTAAAACTTAACACTACAGCTATAATAATTAGGTGATACATGAGACCTTCTAGATTCCATTCCCCATTCTAAACCAGTCTAACCAGACTACTATGAAATACCACTGTTCATCTGCTCAAAAAACTTACTCTAGGTCTCTAGTACCAACTATTTACCATTGATTTTCCATAGCTTAGTCTTATGTGATCTACTCCATTTTCTACTACTAATAAAAGCAATGTACCATCTTACAATATTGAAGTACACTTTATGGTTTTGCAAACACTTGTTCTATTACCTCCTTTGCTCTCTACCACAAACTTCCAAAGGTAAAGATTACGAATTCTAAGTTACAGATGAGGAAGATGCGGTGGGAAAAAGCATGAACTGTGGCTTGGCTGAGCAGTCTATTACTTTTCACTTACTGCTCATTCTAAATCTTACATTATTACCTATGCTAATTCCTCCAATCTAGAAAGGTATCCCACTCTTCTTCTTTATGCATCATTCATCAAATCTCAAGCTTCCCATGAAGCTTTCAACTTTCTGATCTATACTGATCTCTCTGAGAAAGACTCCCAGGCTACTCAGTATCTGCTGTGTCACTATCTGTCTGGTAGTGTTTCCTGTCTTCTCATTTTCTCAATGTGAAGTACCTTCACCGATTTTCCCACAACAAAGCACAGGAGATATTTGTTCAATTTGCCAGTTACATTTCTTCAATTGTAGTATTTTGTACTTATATAAAACATGTTTTCCAAATAATTCAAGATGTTCACATAAATATCCCCATCTTCACCCAAATTTTTAGTAACACAGAGAATAAATACATGATGATAACACTGCATTTTGTTTTTCTGGACAAATATGAGTTGTTTCCTTTATGTTTCTTTAAAATACTATAATATTTCACCTAATCAGAAAACTGCTCTGGCAACCTTGTCTATCTGAAACACAGTCCAAAAACAGGAAGTGAAAAAAAAATACCTTTGAACAGCAAAATCTGTCCATTTTATGCAAACTATACATAGATGACAGCCAGACCCATATTTAACACTTCTTAAGTTAAACAATTTCAAAAACCTTGGTTGTCTAGTTCCTAAGGACTTAGCATATTAGAAACAGTAAGAAAAACAGATATTAGAAACTGGCATACCAACACAAAAAACAGCAAGTGGCCAGAAAACATTACAAATGTGAAAAAGTAGAAAAAAGAATCAAAATGAGGGGCGTGTTGTGCGTGTACTTACATGTATGTGGTAGGGAGACTAGCAATCTGAGTGTCTCCGTGGAAGAAGCAAGTAGCATTCCAAATCTCAATAGACCCTGCAGATTTCAGTATGTTATACAATAATCTAAAAATTATTGCTCTTAAGGATGCTTTTGGGTAATAAGAAAATTAAATGTTTAAACACTGTATTTAGGAAACAAGATAATATTGGTATATTTTAGAATTATTCCTGTTTAAAATGTCTTTTAAAATGTTGACGCTTAAAGTGGCAAGGGGAAAACTTGGCTACTCAAACTGGTTAAACCCCTGCAAGTTCTCGATGGTCAGGATTTTCATGTTTTGAGGAATGAAGATCATTCTTACATACGTGGATTACATCTGTTTCATATCTTCTGCCACTCACATATAATGCCTATAGTAACAGCAATTAGACCTAATTTTCTCCTTACTCTCCTCTCTATCCTTTCACTTTCAGTCTTCTCTTGACAGCCCCTACCTCTCCCTAGTGTAACCTCAAGAGTTATTAGAATATCCATTCTTACATGGATATCCATTCTTATATGTAAAGCCCATTACTGAAGGATTCTACTTAGTAGTTGGTTTAACCATGTTTCACTCTACTCTTGAACATCTAACTTGGACTTGTCCCTGGACACTCATTCATTCAATAAATGTCTAATCAACTCCTAATATGTGCCATGCATAATTCTAGATGGGAGGATTCAACAGTGAAAACAAAAACCAAAGTCCAAGACTTCAGCTTACATTCTAGTAGGCTGAAGGGAAACATTTAACCAATCCATCAATTAATCAATGATAAAAGGTTAAGGGTAAGTGTTATGAAGAAACAAAAGTGTGAAGGGATACAGAATGACTGCAGTACCATATTAGATAGGCATGAATATAGGAAAATGTATGTTGCCATATTCTAAAAACGTTAAGTCATAGTTGCAAAATAGGAGCTAAAGTGAAAGGTTCAAAGTGGGGTCTGTTAAATGGGAGAGCTTAAGAGCAATCTTCAGGTTGCCATACACAAAAAAATCTACTAACTAGAATATTCCGTATGAAAGGAACACTTGCCTTAAATGTATAAAATTTTTCCTCCATGAAAGAATAAACAAATAAATGACAAGAAAAGACTGACAAGAAATGGCAACAATCTCTTCTTATTCTGGATATATTTAACTGTAAGAAATATCATCCAACTGAATGTGAGAGAGTGGTAGATTATACAATTAATGAAATCTATTATACTTCTATGAGTTTAAAAGTTGTACAGAGATTATAGCTTATGCAGATAAACACTGTGCTTCTAAACAGTTTTAAATCTTTTAAGTTGAAATTCTTCATTTGTTCATACTCAGAAATAAACTCCTATAATTCCCTGTTTTCTCAAATATTTTAATCATTTCAAGGTAGATTTAAATAGGATCCAGGTAAAATCTGATTTTTCTTAGGTAGTCCCCCATGTTAAATATTATCTCAAATCACTAGCAAGAAGAATACAATTAAGTTTGCTATTATAGCTTACCCTACACAGTCCACCTCTTCAGGATAATTTAGCAAGCGGAGCACCTGTTCTAGGTTCCGTAAGCTTCTTTTTAAGTCACCTGTTGCCATTATGTAACATCGGATTCTGCTCTAACTCTTGAAATAGTCTAATTTTTCACCTAAAAACAGAAATCCATGAAATATTGGTTAAGTCTCTATTTTTGAAGCTTCTTGATTCTATTTTGTTCATATCTTACCCTAGCTCTTTTTCCCCTATCTTCTTCTCTACTATTCAAGGTCTACTTTGTAACTACTGCAAGTTCCTGAAAATAGGGTGTCTCCCCTACCCTCCTACATGTTTTCCTTCCAAAAAAGTAAGTGCCTTATATTCATCTTATTATAAGTATCTTATATGACACTTGCCCAAATAGCTTTTTTTTTTTTAAGCATAAAGCACCGTTTAAGACACATCAACTTGGAATAACATCCATCAGTGACTCTTTCGGATGCTTATAGAGGCTACATAACACAATCAATAAAAAATGGAGACAAATAAATTCAGCACAGATTTAATCAGAGTCACAGAGCTCTGATCTCACACAGTTGCCAAAAAGATACCTTTTCTAAAAACTAACAATACATTTTAAAAATGCAGGGTTCACTTGGATAAATATGACAGATTAAATGCATGTTACCTTCCTTTCCATTTTCTAAAGACCACTAAAATGAAAGTAAATAATTTAAAATCACATATACCCACCAGGACAAAAAGAACTTCAGGAGATTTCACATGACAAAACAGGTATCAACAAAATTTTGGAAAATGAAAAGCAAATGAATAAGGGACAACCAACCTAGCAGAGCAGAGACAGGCCAATCCCATCTGCCTATTTAGGAGGAAACCAACTGAAGCAAGATAGGTTCACAAATCAGGTGCACTTGATGCTTCTGAAAGACAAAGGGGTAAGTCCAGGGGGCTGAAATAAGAATGATTATTTGAAAGTCTACATAAGAAGCAGCCTACCCTAGAATTTATTTTCCCTCCTGCCTCCTATCCCTACACACATAACTTGCTCAGCAAGGCAACTACCTCTCACCTTCCCTGGAAAGAGAAAAGAGCTTTACATTCTAAAGAAATTGAATCAAAGAGGCACCAAATTTGGAAACACCAGGCAAGGCAAACAATATGGAATGAAATGTTCGAAGGGAGAAAGAAGTATTAATGAAAACACACACACACACAGAGTAATAAAGTTTCTTCCTATATCTCGGCCACAAGAAGCTGTGAGACTTATATCCTCCGTGACAACAGACTATCAAGTTCTATGTTAGAGAAGGTGGATGGACCTAGAGAAAAAGTACCATCACATTTCTGACATTTGAAGAAAACCCAAATTGAAAAGGGCAGGGTCTTGCCCAATAAACCTGTAGCAAACTCACTCATTGACAAGTCCTAGCCAGGCACCTTTTTTTCTTAGATTCTCATGTTTAAAACTGAATATATGCCCAAAGGTCAATAACTATTAGAGGGAAGCTTTCAGTATGAAAAGTATATATAAATACCTTTAACAAAATAAGCAGAGAAGAAAAATTGGTGGAAATAGAGATAATACAGAGAAAAAAATTCAAAATGAAGCTTTCCATTCTCAATGATGAGATTAGAAAAAAAAAATTAAAACCTAAAACAAGAATAGAAGGATATAAAAAATATTAAGCTTGTGAGAATGCAAAATGAGCCAGAGATTGTTAAAGTGGACCAAAAATAAGATCTAACTACATGCTGTCTATAAGAAATCCATTTCGTTTATAAGATTAAAAGTAAACGGAGGGCCGGGCGCGGTGGCTCAAGCCTGTAATCCCAGCACTTTGGGAGGCCGAGACGGGTGGATCACGAGGTCAGGAGATCGAGACCATCCTGGCTAACACAGTGAAACCCCGTCTCTACTAAAAAATACAAAAAAAATAGCCGGGCGAGGTGGCGGGCGCCTATAGTCCCAGCTACTCGGGAGGCTGAGGCAGGAGAATGGCGAAAACCCGGGAGGCGGAGCTTGCAGTGAGCTGAGATCCGGCCACTGCACTCCAGCCTGGGTGACAGAGCGAGACTCCGTCTCCAAAAAAAAAAAAGATTAAAAGTAAATGGATAGGGAAAAATATATCATGTTAATATTAATGAAAAGAAAGCAGGAACAGTTATATTAATCTCAGACAGCAGACCTTATAATAAGGAAAGTTACTAGGGATAAAGGGGCATTACATAAAGATAAACGACTTAATTCTCCCAAAAAATATAACAATCTTTAATATATATGGACCTGACAACACAATGTCAAGATATATGAAACAAAAACTGACAGAACCGCAAGGAGAAATATACAAACCCCTATTTTAGTTGGAGACTTCAACACTCCTCTATCAGAGATATATCCAGCAGGCAAAAAATAAAATAAAATAATAATAATAATAATAAAGTCAGTAAGGACAAACAATATCATCTATCAACTGGATATAACGAATATTTATAGGCTACTTCATCAAACAACAATAGAATACATATTCTTCTCAATTTCACATGGAACATCCAAGATAGACTACCTTTGGGGTCATAAGGCATATCTTATCACATTTTTAAAAAGTAGAAGTCATACAATGTCTGCTTTTAGATCACAACGAATTTAAATAGAAATCAACAATAGAATTTACATTCATTAAATAAAAATTTAAATAAGACAAGTTTGAGGAGATAATCATAGTTACACATTGGACGAAAAGATACGAAAGTGGAATAGAAATTATAAGAAAAGTAGAGGACCAAACCAAAAGATTCAACATCTCATGAACAAGAGAAAATGAGGGAGGAAATTGTGAAATAATACAAAAACACCTCTCAAGACGGAATGTCATGATTTTCTAGGTTGAAAGAACACAATGAGTGATCAACACAAGAAGTGAAACAAAGCTCACAGCAAGATATATCACTGTGACATTTCATAACGTAAAAGAAAAGCTTTGTAAAACATCCAACAAGGCAAGAAAAGATCACATAGGAAGAATATCAAAATAGCATCAAATTTTCAATAGCAATGTTAGAAGCTAAAGGATAAAGCAACATTATCTTCAAAATCCTGAGAGGAATTACTTATAATCTTGAATTCTACACTCAATCAAGTTATCAAATATCACACCCAGCAATGTACGCTAGGTACGCAAGGGCTTAGTACAACATTCTAAAAATCAATGTAAGCCATATGAGCAGGTCAAAGAAGGCAAATCATGTATTATCAATGGATGTAGAAAAAATACTTGAAAAAAATCTAACACCCACCCATAATAAAAACTCTCAGCAAACTAGGAATAGAGAGAAACTTCCTCAACTTAAATTGGGAAAATACCTAGAATTCTGAAACAAACAATACAATTAAAAAATAGGCAAAAGAAGTTAACGGATATTTCAGTAAAGAGGACATATGGATTGTAAGTAATATGAAAAGTGGCTCAAAATCATTTATCATTAGAGATTTGCAAATTAAACCAAAATACCACTACATGCCTATTAGAATGGCCATAAAGTCTACAAAAAAACCAACAGCTAACACCACACTTAAGGCTGAGAAACTGTATCCTTCGCCCAAAGACTGGGAATAACAAAAGGATGTCCTATCTCACCACTCCTATTCAACAGTGTTCCAAAAGTCCTAGCTAGTGAAATGAGGCAAGCAAAGGAAAGAAAATACCTTAGGAAGAAAGGAATAAAGTGGTCTTCATTTGGAAAAGACATGATTGTTTATGTAGGAAACACTACAGAATCAACAAAATTCCCTAGAACTAAAAAGTGAGTATAGCAAAGTCATATAATATAAGGTTAATACACAAAAGTCAAATGTTTCCCTATACATTGGCAATAAATGATTAGAATGAAATACCAAACTAAAAACACCATTATCATAGCACAAAAAACACTTTTAAGTCTAAAAAAATATGTACCTGATCTGTATGTCACAAACTACAATACTATGAAAGAAATCAAAGAAGGTTTTAGCTAGCAGAGAATAGCGGAACAGGACCTCCCCAGCCCCTGTCCTTCACAGAAGCACCAATTTAGCAACCATCTGTGTATAAAAGTGCCCTGAAGGGTCCAAGTAGGAGGGTGTGACATCCTTCTGGAGCCCAAGACTGATAGAAGCCATTTTGAGAAGGCAGAATCGGGCCCCGGTAGCTGGCATGTGACTACAGATCTGGCTCCAGACCCAGCAGCAGCCTTATCAGCATGTGGGCTTCAACCCACCTGTCCAAGGTCTCACAGGAAGACTTGTTTGTCTGGGAACCCAGAAGGAATCACACCCACCCAAGCCCCAGTAATAGGCCCACAATCTGCAGACCTGATTTTGAACGTGTAAGCAGACCCACAACCTAGCTCCACCTAAGTGACTGTGGTTTAGAAGTCAGTCTCATCAAGGGAGCCTGCAGGAGAAGATCTTTATCTACTGAAATCACTCTGTGAAGTACAGAAGTGGTAACTGCTCCTTCAAATGTACAGACACCAGTGAAAGACTCAAAGGATTATGAGTAAATATAACATGCCAAAGGAAACCAATACGGTTACAGAAACTGACTGTAACAAGATGAAGATCCATGAACTGCTTGACGAAGAATTCAAAATAATCATCTTAAAGCTCAGTGAGCTACAAAAACAAACAAACAAACAAACCCGATAGAAAATGAAATAAAATCAGGAAAACAATACATGAACAAAATTTTGTTCAATAAAGGAGAAGCATCAAAAGAACCAAACAGAAATCCTAGAGCTGAACAATATAATGACGGAACTAAAAAATTCAATAGAAGGCTTCAACAACAGACTCAATCAACCAAAAGAAAGAATCAGCAAACTGGAACACCAGTCATACGAAATTATGCAATTAGAGGAAGAAATATAAAAAAGAATAAAAAGTGAAATGAAGTAATACTACAGGACTTATGGTACACCACTAAGTAACTTAATAAAGACATTATAAAAGTTCCAGAAGGCAAACAGAGAGAGAGAGAAAGGGGCAGAAAGCACATTTAGATTATGGCTGAAAACTTCCCAAATCTAGGGATGAAAATGAACATCAAGACTCATGAATCCCAAAAGTTCCCAAATAGGTTGAAGCCAAAGAAGTCTGCACCAATACACACTATAATGAATTTGTCAAAATTCAAAGACAGAAAAAAAATTTTGACAGCAACGACAGAAAAGTAACTTATTTCATATAATGGAGCCCCCATAAAGGTATTGGTGAATTTCTCAGCAGAACACTTGCAGGCCAGGAGAGAGTGGAATGACATATTCAACATACTGAAAGTAAAAAAAGAAACCTGACAACCAAAAATAAATACCTGAAAAAAATGTCCTTCAAGAATGAAGGAAATAGCCATGAGTGGTGGCTCACACCTGTAATCGCAGCACTTGAGGAGGCTGCGGCAGGCAGATTGCTTGAGCTCAGGAGTTCGAGATCACCCTGGGAAACATGGTGAAATCCTGTCTCTACAAAAAACACAAAAATTAGCCAGTCATGGTGGTGCATGCCTCTAGTCCCAGCTACTTGGGAGGCTGTGGTGGGAGGTTGGCTTGAGCCCAGGAGGTTGAGGTTGCAATGAGCTGAGATCATGTTACTGCACTCCAGCCTGTGCAACAGAGCCAGACCTGAAAAAAAAAAGAAAAGAAAAGGAAAGAAAAAGAAAAAAGAATAAAGAAAACATAAAAACGTTCTCAGATTAAAAAACTCAGGGAGTTAGTCACTTTCAGACATGCTCTAACAAGAAATGCTAACAGGAGTTCTTCAAGTAAACCGAAGATACTAAACCAACAGTATGAAAGCAGATGAAAGTATACATCTCACTGCTAAAAGTAAACATGAAAACAAACACAGAACATTGCAGTACTGAAATGTGTAGCACATAAATCTCAT